AAATAAGGATAAAGTAATGTCATAATCTAACAATGTGGAAATATTAAACCAAGCTAATTAATATGTCCTCTACCTCAGATATTCAACATTTTTTTATAGTGAGAACATTGGAGAATCATGTTCCTATTAACTTTTTTCTTGTTTGTTTGTTTGCTTTGTTTTGTTTTGAGGCAGGGTCTCCCTGTAGCCCCAGCTGGCCCTAGAACTCACTATATAGACCAGGCTGGCCTTGAACTCACAGAGATCACCTGCCTTTGCCTCCCAAGTGCTGAGATTAAAGGTGTGTGCCACCATGCCCGGCTATTAATTCTTTTTTTTTTTTAATTTATTTTTATTTTATGTGTATGAGTGTTTTGCCTGTCTGTAAGTACACCCATGGCGTACAGTGTCTGCAGAAGCCAGAAGAGGGCATCAGATCCCTTGGAACTAAAGTTACAGTTAGTTGACATGTGGGTGCTGGGAACTGAACCTGGGTCCTTTGCAAGAGCAGCCAGTGTCTTTAACTGCTGAGACATCGCATCAGCTCTTATTTTTGGTTTTAATTATCAACATGTTTATGTGTGTCTGTGTGTGCATATATGCACATGAGTGCAATGCTCTTGGAGGCCAGAAGAGGGTGTCAGATCTGGAGCTAGAGTTACAGCTGCTTGTGAGTTGCTGGATTTGAGTGCTAAGAACTGCACTTGAATCCTTTGCAAGAGCAGGAAGCTCTCTTAACTGTTGCACTGTCTCTCCAGTCCCCCAATAATTATTTTTATTTGATAATACTTTAAAAAATTTTATCATAGGCTAAAAAGTCTACATAACATGTTTGGTTCCTTTGAATCTTGAACCTTTTTTCTTCTCTCACTGATTCTTCCTTTTAGGCAGAAGGTTCTAAAAAGTACTGAGGAGCAGGAGCTGGAAAAGAGAATGAGAATGCAGCAGGAGGTAGTGGAGATGCGGAAAAAGAATGAAGAATTTAAGAAACTTGCTCTCGCGGGAGCAGGTCAGCTTGGCCTTGGTTGAGTCTTATCTATGAGGGGCAATTCCAATCTGGTAGGACTTTTTGAGGTCTCTACAGCAGAAAAGAAAAAAATGGTTTTGATAGTCAGGATAGAACAGTGTGTTAAAACATTGGTTGTAGGTTCCACTTAGATCCCAGGGAGCTGACCCTTTCTTAGAGCATGCTGTTCTCTAATGTTTTAGAAAAGGGTTAAGACAGGTGAGAAGTGGGCTGGTCAGTTTGTCATTTTCCCCTTCAAGGTAGAGGAAAGAAAGGGCTCCATCAGATTTGGCTGCAGCTATGGCTGCAGAAGAGGTCACAGTTCTGCTTTGTTCTAGTGGAGTCAAAGCTGCAGTACTAGATTGGAAAATAGTACCCTGGGGTTTATAGGTTTCTCTCTTAGAAATGCTGTATTAAGTTTGCTTTTAAAGTCGGTTCAGGGCTAAAGAGATGGCTCAGCAGTTATGAGCACTGACTGCTCTTGCTTTGGACCCAGGTTTGGGTTTGGGTCCTAGTTCCCACATGGTAGCATTACATTCATGGGTACACTTGCATGCATGCAGGCAAACCAGTCATACACGTAAAAATAAATGAATTAAAAAAAAAAAACCCAAAACTTCTTAAAGTCAATCCAGAGGAATTGATGAATGGCTTAGTGGTAGAGTGTTTGACTATTATGTGCGAGGTCCTGGCTTCTATCTCTGATACTATTAAGACTTAAGTCATACCTTTTCCTTTCCAAACTATTGCAATGACTTTTTTTTTTTTTTTTTTTTGGTCTCCAGAGCTGTGACTACACCCTGACAATGAATTCTTCTACTTTACCTACTTTGCATTTGACCAACGGGGTTTTTTTTTTTTCAAGATTTTTTTTTATATTTTATTTTATTATTTTTATTTTATGTATACAAGTGTATTGCCTACACGTATGTGAGTGCACCCATGTCATGCAGTGCCGTGGAGGTCAGAAGAGGGCTTCAGATTCCCCTGGAACTGGAGTTAAGGACAGTTCGTAGCCCCCATGTGGGTGCTAGGAATCAAATCTGGGTCCTCTGCAAGAGCAGTCAGTGCTCTTAACCGCTGAGCCATCTCTCCAGTCCCCTTGAACTCAGTACAGCTCTGAAAATGAACTCGTGTTTTAGTGTCCCTGAGGACTGTTTCAAGTTTGGGCTTACAGGTAGATAGTGAATAAAGTTAGATCCATAGTAACAGAAATGTTGAAAGGACTAGAGTAAAAGAGAACTTAGAATTGTTCTATATTTTTTTTTAATTAATCAATTTTTCTTTTCTTTTTTTGGTCTTTTTGAGACAGGGTCTCTCTGTAGCCTCAGCTGTCCTGGAACTCACTATGTAGACCAGGCTGGCCTTGAACTCACAGAGATCCCCCTGCCTCTGCCTCCTGAGTGCTGGGATTAAAGGTGTGTGCCACCACGCCTGGCTAATTTTTCTTTTATGTCTATGAGTGTTTTGCCTGCATGTTTGTAAGTAGAACCACTTGCAGTGCCCATGGAATTCAGAAGAAGGCATCAGATTCCCTGAAACTGGAGTTATGGACAGTTGTTAGCTGCCATATAGATGCTGGGAACTCAAGTCCTTTGCAAGAGCAGATAGTGCTCTTAACTGCCAAGCCAGCTCTCCAGCCCTTATTCTCTATTCTTAATGTTATCTGTGTAATTTTCTTTGTTCCCCAGGGCAATTTGTGAAGAAATCAGTGAGCCAGGTCACCAAAGTCGTTGACTTTCACTTCCACACAGATGATCGAATTAAACAACATCCTAAGAACCAGGAGGAGTATAAGGAAGTAAACTTTATGGCTGAACTACGAAAGCATCCTCCATCTCCTGTAAGTTGATGGGCAATAATGAATATTATTAATAATATATATATATATATATTTTTTTAAGCATAAAAGAAAGAGTTTATTGGGCTTACAGTTCCATAGGGAAGAGTCCATCATGATGGAAGAGGCCGGGTGGGAGGTAGCCAAAGCAGAAAGTTGAGAGCCTGCATCTTCCAGCACACACAAAAAAGGGGCAAGGGGGAGACTGCAAGTCGAATTAGGCTATGAACTCCCAAAACCCATCCTCAGTGACTTTCTTCCTCCAGCAAGATCACACCTCACAAAGGTTCCCTAACCGCCCCAAACAGTGCCACCACTTGACGAGGTGTTCAAATACATGAGCCTTTGGGGGCACTTTTCATTCAAATTATCACACTAAAGAAAAAAAGTTAGCCCTTCTAATTTAAAAAAAAAATTATTTATTTAATAACCATATAATTAGAAGAAGCATTTCATTACAATAGCATTGACATATTCAATAACAATTTCCAGAGCTAAGATGCATCT